TTTTACTGCAATTTCACAAAATTGAAAATATTTCAAAAACCGTAAGGTTTAAGTGTGATAAACCTTAATAAAATTTACCTTTATTTTAATCGTAGGATCTAAAAATAGAATAATATACAGGGTGTTCCATTTAAAAAAATACAACTATAGCATTTTTTACTTATTTGGAACACTCTGTATCTTGTAAATTATTTCTAAATTGTAGCTCTAATAGTCCTTCAATGAACCTAAAACTTAAAATTTGTAAAAATCTAATCGTTTAGCTACAATACTCCTTGTCGTATGTGGTAAACACCCTGTATAAATTAAATTAATCGTTTACATATAATTTTAATTACATGTGAATAATATATAAAATATCTGTGAACAATACCAGTAATATAGATGTTTTCCTGTTTGAACAAATGATATGTACAAAAATAAATGTTTAAAGATTAAGACAAAAATGTAAGTTACGAACTGTTAAATTTTCATGTTTAAATATCGTACATAAAATCGTTAATATTATTAGATGTATTTTCCATATTTAACTTAATTTTTGAGTATTTTAGAAACTTTTATTGTTTATTATTAGCTTAAAGTACCTATATATTCTGTAGTTTTTTAAGTGTTACTACCTTTAGGGTTTCCGTCCTATCACCAGCCTAATAAGAGCTGAAAAAACACAGAATGCGCTCAAATAATTATACAAAGTTCGTATATATGTTAATATTTTATTCATATGAACTATAACCTTTGCTGTAACATTAACAGATTTTTGCAGACTCAAACCACAGAATATCTAGCTACGCAACAGAAGCCTCGTTACACGTATAAAATCGTAGGCATCAAAAGGAGACAGGCTTTAAAAGCCTGTCTCCAAATCAGATATTTTGATGCGGTAGTTTCGCTACTACATAATAGAGGGCGATAAATTTAAAAGAAAATAGTTTTCTACAAACGAAATTTAAAAGGATTTTATGCAGTGTTGCCATTATCTAATTCATATTGTAATACTTCCTGATAAAGCTTACAGCTTAGCTTAAATTTGCTACATCATTTAAACGTATTAAAATAGATCAGAGCTCTTTTTTCAAACGTTTAGGTATTTAACTTGCCATGTTAGTTGGAGCTAAATCTTACGAGCTGAATTACAATCACTTTGTAACGTTTGATTGTAATTAAATTTCCTGGCGTTCGATTGGACTTATACTTGGTATAGTAAGTATCTTCGGTGACACTGTAATATGATGGTACTTTGATGCATATAAAGTGGTACCTTAATATAGTACCATATTACGATACCACTTCCTGACGTTCGATTGGACTTATATTTGATTATATTTGCGTATTTTTTGACATTGCTATATTATGGTACCATGAAGCATATCAAGGAGTACCACAATGTAGTACCATATTACGATACCATTTCCTGGCGTTCGATTGGTCTTAAACTTTGTATACTACGTGTGTTCGGTGACATTGGAATATGATGGTACTTTGATGCATATAAAGTGGTACCTTCTATAGTACCATATTATGATACCACTTCTTGACGTTCGATTGGACTTATATTTGATTATACTTGCGTATTTTTTGACATTGCAATATTATGGTACCATGAATCATATCAAGGGGTACCACAATGTAGTACCATATTACGATACCATTACCTTTCGTTCGATTGGGCTTAAACTTTGTATGCTACGTATGTTCGGTGACACTGTAATATGATGGTACTATAATGTATATAAAGTGGTACCTTCTATATAGTACCATATTATGATACAATTTCCTGACGTTCGACTGGGCTCGCTCATATTTGATTATACTTGCGTATTTTTGATGATATTGCAATATTATGGTACCATGAAGCCAAGAAGTACCATAATGTAGTACCATATTACGATACCATTTCCTGGCGTTCGATTGAGTTTAAACTTGGTATATACTACGTATCTTCGTTGACATTGTAATATGATGGTACTCTGATGCATATAAAGTGGTACCTACCTATAGTACCATATTACGATACCATTTCCTGGCGTTCGATTGTGCTTTAATTTGGTATACTACGGATCTTCGGTGATATTGCAATATTATGAAGCATATCGAGTGGTACCATAATAGAGTAAAATATTATGATATCATTTCCTGTAGTTCGATTGGGCCAAAATTTGGTATACTTGCGTTTCTTTATAAAGATTTGTTTAATTAATAATTACAATTTATTTTACGAATTTTAATTTATTGTACGATGTCGTGACAGCAACTTTTATGCCGAACTAATATATTATTAATTATTGTACCTGTATCACTTTTTAAAATCTACCTAGGTAGGTCTATATAAATAACGTGGTAAAAACAGAAGAAATTTGTTATTATAGTATTTTTTTAGTCACTTAACATTTTTTATACTGCATTTTAATAAATTATTTCCATTATTTTAAACGTATATTTCATTACTGACGTTTCAGCATTAACAAATATCACTATCAATCGCCCTCCTGTATATTATTAATTTTAAAGGTAATTTCCTTAGTTAACATTTAAAACTATTTTAAAAGCCAAACGAATAATTAATATAAGTGTATCTGACAAGAAACGAAGAATAGAAAGAAATTATTATACGCCAGAAAAAGAATGGGATGCCAATTAAAGTCTTTTTGAATCTGGCAACTGTGCATATTTAGCCGAGCTTCAAGGTTGTTCAAGGCCGTCGACGTGCCGTCGATCCAAAACCGAAAATTTCCAATTATATTCTGATTATGATATTGTCGCGCCATCTAGTATTTTATTTGTGAAATTTTAGCTCTTTCATTTCGAGTATTTTTCTGTTGCCTAGCTAGATATTCTGTGCTCAAACCAATGATAAACATCTACTCGTTATAAAATAGGTATAAGATTGCTATTGAAAATTTGTTAAAAGTCAACATCATTGCAGGGAAGTGTGATTTCCAATTTTAATAGGCATTTATTTAATAAATAAATTATTGTTGTTATTAATATGTATATGCGCTTAAAAACTTCAACTTGGCTATGAGAAGGAAGAAATTTTTTTTAGAACCGTTTTTTGTTTCGGTACGCCGGCGCCTGTTTTAATCATACGGTACCTATTCATAGAATGCAGCATCATATGGAATTTTTTTGAAGTGAAACTTCTTTACACGCGATGTGAGTAAAAATTCAAGGCTGTGACACGACAAGGCCTTGACACACGAGCTAGCGAGAAAGAAAGTGGTAAGTCACTGAGGAAGAGATGAGATTTTGAGATTGTTCTTTGGAGCGTCGTAACTCGGGCCCTATGTGATCTTTTCATGATATTTTGACGAAGTTTCGTGCATTACGAAACCCCATCGTCAATGAATCAAATTAAAATATCGTCCGATTTAAATGAAATTTGGTATGTCGATAGATTGGACCAAGGCCAACTTGACCGTGTACGACACGTGTCACTGTGACAGTTAGTTTTGACGTAAGAAACGTCAAAAGTTGACGTCGTCCGATTGCGAACAACGTCGATCTCAACCCACCCAGCAAATTTGGATACGACGTTTCGTTTACATCTTCATCAGAGTGGGACTAAGGATTTGATATTGAAGAAACATGTGGGTTGATTTCGGTATAATTAGGGATGGGCTACAGGATGACGCTCTCGACGTTTCGAACCGATGAGATTAGACAAAATTTGATTATGGCGTTAGATTTTGTTTTGAAATCAGATTGAAATAGTGAAGTAGATTAAAAATGACAATAAAATAAACCTTTTGGATATCTGTCAAATTTGACATTTAAAGTAATACATGGTACAAAAATGAGTTTATTGGACGAATTTTAAAAGTGCCTATTCGAAAAAAAAGTTTCTAAAATAGTTTGTTTCTTTTTTATTTTTAGCTGTAAGTAGCTAGCACTACTTTTAATTTGACAGATCTCTTATGTAATTTTTAATATGATTTAAAGCAAAAACTATTTTCTAATTTCACTGTTAATCACAAGTTATCTGTGACACTGTATGACGGACGATATATACCGGGTGTGTCTCAAAAGTGACTCACCCCTATAATTTTTTTATTTTTTCAGATAACAAAACGAGATTTGGTATGTTAATATATGACATAAATTAGGATTGATTGACATATTCAATTGTTTTTAGTCACTTCCTTTTTCACCGGAAATAACTACAAGTTTTGATTTTTAAATGGCATCCTCGGTATTTTTTTACTTTATTCGATAAAAAAATGGCACTCTGAATAGAATGACATATCATATGTCAACTTTTGACATTTTTGCATATGGTGTATTTGAAATTATAACTTGCGGTTCGTAACGAAAATTTGACTCGAAATACAAAGTGTGTGGTATCAAATTATTCGTAAAAAAATGCTTTTTCCAATTATGCTATTGAGCCACACTAATTCCATTTGAAATAATTAAGATATGGTTAAAAATACGATTTGTGCATTTTTCAACCGGCCAGGACAAGACACGAAAAACATTAGACGATCAAATCTATTTTTCCAAGACTCCTTGAATAAAAATTCGTGTTTTTGACACAACCATGGCACTCTAGATTGAAATTTAAAATACGATTTTTTTTAAAGCGAAAATGTCAAAAGTTGACATATGATATGTCATTCTATTCAGAGTGTAATTTGTTATCGAATAAAGTAAAAAAGTACCGAATACTGTCATGTCCCGTGAAAGAGGAAGTGACTAAAAACAATTGAATGCGTCAATCAATCCCAATTTACGTCATATACTAATATACCAAATCTCGTTTTTTATCTGAAAAAATAAAAAAGTTATAGGGGTGAGCCACTTTTGAGACGCACCCGGTATATGTTAGTGGATCTCGTCTACCTACTACTATTCTTTCACCTAAATTTTATGGCATTTTTTGCAAACTTTATTATTTTTATTTAGAATTGACAGATATTTATTAGATTTAAATTCATGAACTCAAATAGAAATAAAGTAGATAAGAATTTCTAAAAACTATTAATTTATTATTTCTCTTCTAGTTCTGGTCCTATTTACTTTTACGGAATCACTAAATGTCAATAAGGGGACATCACGACCCAGAAGGCCCACTGTCGAAATCCTCACGACAACAACCAAAGCACCGAAGGATGATAGCGGCGCCGCTCTTTATAGATTCATTAATCGGAATACCGACGCTACATGTATTTTGCTGAAGACAGACGGCGTTGTTGAGGTAAGACTAAGTGGGAAATCTATATGTTACAGTAAAAGTTGGAAATCAGTGATTGTTAACAATTACTAGTAAAAGCTCACATTCACTGATATGCTAAGACTACGCCAGTAAAAGTTCAACAGCTATTCTTAAAATCAACTTTTACTAGTGAATGCTAGCATTCCCTGGACGATAGCAGTGAGTTTGAAAGCATAAAATAATAAATACAAGAAGAAGTGTCAAGTCAATGTTAAATTATGGAAACAGCGTGGCTGCCTGGGTAACTAATTTTCAGATATGGCGGCTGGGACATTTGACATGACATAGACATGACAATTTCAATTTTATGAAATTTATTTCCGTTTCCGGTTTTTAATGGCGGGCTGTTCAGGAGGTTTAAATGAGGGTTAATATACTTTTTACTCTTTCTAGTAGTAAATAATACAACAAAATTACTCAAAAATATTTATTTGGAATTTAGAACAATGTAAATATGCAAATCAACACAATTAAAGAGCTATAAACCAATAAACTACTGTATCAATATTAAATATTTAAATAATATCAGAGATGCTGTGTTAAAGCGAATTAGTAAAGTAACAGTGCATTGACTTACAGAAACTTGAAGATAAATAAATGTTTTCACAGCTTCACGGATAAATAACTGGAAGCAGGAAAAAGGCAACCGGAACCCACACAAAACCTGGAATCAAAAAAAATATGTAAAAAATATAAATATAGGTACCTACATAAGACTTTTGTGAATTAAATCAAACAGGACTTGAATGAAAATAAAATGAATAAAAAATATGATACATATACATCTAATACCTCATTTGTATTTTAAAAATAATCTACATACATAGATTTATAGCATTATTGCTATGAAAATACATAATAGGTACCTATGTGATATGTAATTACGCATTTCTGTTCATCTTGTAGAAATTTAACGTAGGCTAATAATAGTTCAATAATCATAATTTACCTTGTATAACTTGCTTTCAATTGCTCAAAATCACCGATCAGTCTTTAAAGTAGAGATACGGAAAAATCCTTGAAAGAATATCCCAAGATCCTTGGGTTTAAAGCTAAAAAAATATAAAAACAGTTAATATATTACCTATTTTTACCTATAATATGGCCCATACCTGCTACACGCCGAAACGTCGATTTCATCATTTTCTTCATGTAATTAATATCATATATACTTTATTAAAGTGTTAACAAGGAACTTTATATCAAAAAACATCTTTGTACTTATAAATTTCAGCCGAAATATCAGAAACAAACTTCCAATCAAATCTAAACGGCAAAAATTAAAATGGCGCCCGACCTTGCCAGAGGCCGGGAGCTGACGTTGACACACAGACAAAAGACAAAAGAACAGGACGCCGACGTGCATAAAAATGTTCCGTAGCAGAAATTGACAGAAATCATATAGAAATATTCAGATTTTTGTCTAGGACAGTCTAGAAGGCCATGCTTTCTGCCTGGGTAGAACCGCGCCACAACTGTCTCCAATTTTCCGGCACAGTTTCCGGTTTACTGTCACCCCCCTCTTTGAAAGATTCAGTTAGCGCGGCTGCCACATGTTGTAAAATATAAGGATAAATAACGATAAGCTGAATTATAGGCAATATAAGGATAACATTAAATTGGGGTAAACCTTGGCAACGTTGACAGACATCTGGCGTAAATTCGCTTTGTTTGTGGTTATGTATAATTGTTTTGTTATCGTTGTAAAAAGTGCTGTGCGGTATTTTTCCTATGGAATAAATTTTCTGTGGAAAATTAAGGTAAACTAAGGCACTCTCAAAAATGTAATAGTGCTTGTGTGCTTGTTTTTCATTTTTGCAATATAATGAAGTCATACCAAAGTTAAACATGCAAGAGAAAAATATATTAAGGAACCTAGTGATTATGAATTTTTTTTTTTACGTTTTGATATGCTTGATGTAGCGGGTTTGAAAAAACGGATAACTCCCATTGAAGGAAATTCGGGCATACTTTATTTTGTCCACGAACTTGTACCAATAAGAAAACTTGTACCAATAAGTAATCTTATGTTGGTATATGTTTATGAATGTTATGTGTCGTTATTTTCTATAATTTTTAATAAATATTCTAAAGAAGTAAATTGTAGTTGATATGTGGATCAGCTTGAAGCTTGAATATTGAGGTGATCCAATATTTTTAAAATTTTATTGTTCTTTCCACCAACATTTTTTCTTGCCACACTCGCCCTGTACAATAGAATAACTTTTACTGGCAACCTTTAGTAAACGTTATTTTCACTATATGTATAGTGAATGTTAGAAATTACTAGGAAAAGTCGACAAATCTCTTTAAAATACCACATTCACTGGTCCAATACGTAATTGCTAGCATTTCCTAGTGAATGTTAACAATCACTGAATTTCCGACTTTCACTGTAACATATATAACTTTTACTTTGCTTTCGTAAGTGAGAATGTTCGCATTACATTATTCATATTACTTCGTATTGCTATCATTCGTATTGTTAATTTATTCGTAAAGATGATTTATTCTTAATGTATTAAATAGGTTTGTCTTGTTATTTTTTAATATACAAAGATAACTTGTAAGCGTCGCTTTTCTCACGATTGCTAAGCAACGATTCCCAAGTAGCATTTGGACGTTATCTAACGTCGGGTATACGTCGCGTTCAATAAACCCGACATCGGGTACTAACGTCGGTTCGACCGCCTGACGACCAGGGTTCGGAAGTAGTTAATTAAGACGTAATTTACCTGAATAACTACGTGTAGTTTTTCTTCAAAAACTACGTCTTCTCCCGTTCATTAACTACATGAAAACTACGTTAATAAACTATGTATTGATATTATGAATAATTTTCATTTGTATGAGGTGTAACAGAGATAATATGATGGGTCGCCTCGACGTCGGTATCTGACCTAATAGGGAATGTAATTCTACCAATTACCAACGTCATATTACGTTGGATTTTAGTCACTTAAAATTCGTCGCTAAGCACTTACTACGTTACTTCTGGTTTCATATTCGCTACCAAAAATACAGAAAAACCTAACCAAACTACCTAATTACAAATGGATTCATAATAACTCCTCTAATATAACTATAGGTATATAAGTGCCTATCTAATTTCATATTATAATAATTCTGAATCATTCATCCAGACATCAGTTTCGTCAACGGATGTCACTTTTTTTTTATATATCTGATTAAAATACTCCGGAAAACAACGAGCACCTTCAAAATTAGGTAGATTTATGAAATAAAAATATCTATAAAAAAGCAACTCGCAAAATATTTTTTTTATTTTCTAGCTGGTTTAATCATAAAACTGTACTGTGGTTCCCCCAAACTCAACCTTATCAATATTATTCTAGAAATCGGAATGTGAATATAAATTTTAAAAACAAAAACGATTTTAAAATGGCTGACAATCGGATACTTATTAAGAATGGCGGATTCCTGTGTCCGACTTAATATGAACTACCAATATACCAATTCCGACCGGGTCTCCAACATAAGTCGTCTCACACGACCGAAGTCATCAAACCGGACGACCGGCAATCGTATTATGACGTATATAATTCCAACGTACGCCACGTAACCTCACTTTGCGTATCAGTGATTTGTGGATTTGTGCAACTATATTTTAGTTTTTGTTTTCTCCTTAAAAAAAATGGGCAGCCACTTTTTTAAGATAGTATATATACAAAATTTATAAGAATTGGAACCAGTACCTCACATGTGGGAGGAAGATGGGGTCTGCTGGTTTCCTAAGCTAAAAAATGAAATTAAGATGCACCAGTGTGATGCAGCATCTCTTCCGGATAAAAAGCATTCGTGGGTGGAGGCAAGACATCACTACTACTATTATTATTTTATTTATTAGCTTTCTGTAAATTGTAGATGAATGGCTAAATGCCTTTTTAGTGTTTTTTTAGGCTTAATAAAAAAAATTAAGTTTGTTTACAAAAACTTTTTATTAGGTTATGTTCATGATGTTCATTAGGCCGCAAATGCTACTTAATGGGTTGTATTTACGGACGTAAATAGAGATACGTAAATTAGGTTATAAATATGAACATAAAATACAACAAAATATAATTGGACGTTACTTTAGGGATTATCAGTGGGACGTATCCTATTCGAACAACGGGTAGACGTCGGGCTAGTTCAAGTATATGTACGTTGTGCAAGCCAACGTGGGAACGACGTTGGGAAATTAATAAAAATGGTACGTTGTTATTTTGTACGTCGACAGATCGTTGGATTTACCGACTCGGATCGAACGACGTCGCTTTTAATAGGAAAGCGACGTCACGGGTCGTATCACCAGCACCCGACATAAATTTGCACAAAGTCTGACGTCGCTTCAGGTCAGATTTAGTTCGAAGTCAGATAGATGCTACTTGGGTTTGTTTGCGCTGGTTTATTTAGATTTTCTAATTTGTGTGGATAATTTATATCCTACTTTTATTTTTCAAGCTCTGCATTGACACAAAAGCAATGACAAGTTACGCAAATGACGACGAAATAATGCAAAAGTGTTTGCAAAATATCAAATAAAATGTAAGATGTTTAGTTTTAAAAATATTCAGTTATTTTTTAAAACTTAACTATGTTCCAAATGGGCTAGTAATAGTGACCCACGAGCTAGTACTAAAAAGTGATAAAAAATTTGACCTATACCTCTCTCCAAAAAGGTTCGCCATCTCTAGAATCTCCGAGCCCCACTCTATCGGGTCAAGGCGGCATACAGAAGTAACCTAATTTTGGGCCACTGGCTCTGTCCTTCATGTAAATATTGTAATTTTTACACAGTGAATTAAAAACAAATAAATCTGTTATACATTTTGACATGTCGTGCTGAATTGACCTTCAGTTAACGCGTATTTTATATTTTCTTTCTTAATTACTTAAGTTTAAAGTATTTTTTAACCAATCCTAATAGAAATATTATGTTACGAACGTTATAATAATATATTACAATACATACAGAATGC